GGCTGGGGTCTCCGCCCCGCCACGGCGGGCCCTGCCACCCAGACGCCCGCCCCACGATCACGCACCTTTCTTTTGCGTGGAGCAGGTTCGTCCAGCAGGAAGGGGTCAGGGTCGGTCTCAAAGCCGTGGTCGGTCTGGGGAGAGCCAAAGGCATCCCCCAAATACTTGGGGCTGGCCTGGGGGTGGGGGGGCGAGGGGGTGGAGACACCGCTGCTCCCACTCCAGTGCCCGCTGGTGGTGCTGCTGCCGCTGTCCGACACGTCGCCGCTCTCCTTCCACGGGTCGCAGGCTGCGCGGGCCGCTGGTCGGGTGGAGAGAAGACGAGAGGACGCTCACAGGTCCGCCCCGGACAGAAAGCCGAAAGCCAAAAGCCGAAATCCGAAAGCCGAAAGCCTCTCCCTTCCGAACATGGGGAGGGGCGCCACCCATCATGGCCACTGCTCCTGGCAGGACGCCGCCAGACACAGTCGCCCAGTCATCACTGCCCCACAGAGGCCCACTTCGCCTTCTGTTTGTCTGGGGGGTTTTGCGTCGGGGTCTCACTCTGTCGCCTAGGCTGGAGTGCAGTGGCACGATCACAGTTCACTGCATCCTCCACTCTTGGGCTCGGGCAGTCCTTCCTCTTCGGCCTCCTGAATAGCTGGGACCACAGACACGTGCCCCCATGCCCAGCTAATTTTTTACTTTTTATTTTGTAGAGATGAGGTCTCGCCATGTTGCCCAGGCTAGTCTCGAACTCCTGGGCACAAGCAACCCTCTTGCCTCGGCCTCCCAGATGGCTGGGATTACAGGCATGAGCCACTGTGCATGGCCTGGACCTTCAGTTTTGAAACTTAACATCTGCAGGTGCTTAGACCCAAACCAGACTCCTTCGTCCCTAGGCCATAAATCAGGATTAATCTACAGTAGAGGAGAATCGGAAATTCTCCTGCACAAAAACACCAAGACGGGGGGAGGAACTGCATGCCTTCAAAAGCCCCAATTTCCAACACAGACGCTCCACACAGCCTCCTAACCGTGGATTCCAAGATCCACTGCCACAGCCTTGGGACCAGGGTAAAATCCGACTGCCTTTCCTCCTGCTCATATTCCAAACGGTTTCTCTGCTGATATGGACACCTGGGACAGGCTCCCCTCTTTTCATGTCTCCAATCAGCCTCCCCTTAAATCTCACAGCCTAAGAGTCTCACAGAACGGGACGGAGGAAGAACTGCTCCCTCCCCAGATACCACAGTTTGGCCTTCCTGGGGACCAAGAGGTGCCTCATCCACACGTGGGCTTACAACAGGGTAGACATTCAGAGCAGGACTCGAAACTCGTTCAGTGGGCCAACAGGTCAAAGGCCCGTGCTCATCGGCTCAGGAAACCTGTCAGGGCGGGAAGGGCAGGGAGCAGAACCCTCCCAATCCTCCCTTACTCCCTCGAGAATGAGCAGGACCCTGGGGACAAAGGGCAGGCCAGCCAGCAGGCAAACCCCGCAAACGCCACGCCCCTTCCCCATAGGGACTACTTCTAATGGCTCAAACACAGAAAACCTGTTGGGCAAATTTTGACCTAAAACAAAGCAAAAAGTTATCTGCACGTAACAAAGACCAAAAAAAAGTACATATTCTCTACCATGAAAACATATCCATGAAAGTGTCCTAAAGGGAAAGAAAGTTGTTAATTCCAGTTCCCATCAAGAGTGTATGCATATGTGTGTATGTATAATACATGCATACATGTGTGCACACTGTGTAGAAGTACTCTTCTGAGCCGGGCTCGGTGGCTCAGCCTGTCATCCCGCGCCTTGGGAGGCTGAGGTGAGGGGATTGCCTGAGCCCACGGGTTCGAGACCTGCCTGGGCAACTTGGTGAGACCTCATCTCTACAATAAATCAAAACATTAGCCAGGCGTGGTAGCATGCGCCTGTAATTCCAGCCACTTGGAAGGCTGAGGCAGAAGGATCGCCGGAGCCCCAGCAGGTCGAGGCTGCAGTGCACTCCAGTCTGGGTGACAGAGTGAGACTCCAACTCAAAAAAAAAAAAAAAGAAATAGTTAAAGGTCCTCTGTTCTCTACACACACACACACCATCCTAACTATACAGAGACCAAAGGGAAAGTGGTGGCTTTTGTGCAAATCGTCTCCATGATTAGAGTAAGGTTTTGGTTGTTGTCTACCTCTCACGTTGCAGGATGCTTCATGATAATTAGCTGTCAAGGAAGCCTTATTTTTCCACTGATTTCAACCGTAAAATCAGAAATATATTGTAATGAAAAATTTTTTGCCAAAAAAAGACATGAGATGTCAGAACGATGGCAGGTTAAGTAAGCTGCGTCTGTATCAGTGTGCACACTAGTATACATGTATTATACATACACACATATGCATACACTCTTGATGGGAACTGAATTAACGATTTTCTTTCCCTTTAGGACACTTTCATGGATATGTTCTCCCCTGCTGACCCAACCTCCAGGATCTCCTGAAGTCACAGAATTTCCTGAGAAACAATTAACTTCTTTCCTGGCCCCCACCTGGCCCCACCCTGGCCCCCACCCCACCCCC